ACTCTAGCCTGGTGACAGAGCAAGACTCCATCAGGAAAACAAAAACAAAAACCAAAGGCAGCTTGGTATCCAGAGATAACCCTCTTCAGTATAACAATAAAAACCCTCTTCAAGCAGAAAAGACAAAATAATTTTTAACACTCATTTTTATTTTTTTTTTTTGAGACGGAGTCTCGCTCTGTCACCCAGGCTGGAGTGCGGTGGCCGGATCTCAGCTCACTGCAAGCTCCGCCTCCCAGGTTCACGCCATTCTCCTGCCTCAGCCTCCCGAGTAGCTGGGACTATAGGCGCCTGCCACCTCGCCCGGCTAGTTTTTTGTATTTTTTAGTAGAGACGGGGTTTCACCGTGTTAGCCAGGATGGTCTCGATCTCCTGACCTCGTGATCCGCCCGTCTCAGCCTCCCAAAGTGCTGGGATCACAGGCGTGAGCCACCGCGCCCGGCCAACACTCATTTTTAAATATTTTACAAAAATTAAATAATTGGATGCATTTTTATTGTTCTAAGTGAGTATGAAGATAAAAAAAAAAAGGTACATAAATAAGCCAGAAAACAATAGCTAATATTTGCAATAAATATAACTGGAAAGTAGTTAACTATCATTTGCAGATGATGTCTGCTTACTGAGATAACAAAAGCAACTGAAATACTTTTAAAAGTCTATTTAGGGCCGGGCGCGGTGGCTCAAGCCTGTAATCCCAGTACTTTGGGAGGCCGAGACGGGTGGATCACTAGGTCAGAAGATCGAGACCATCCTGGCTAACACGGTGAAACCCCGTCTCTACTAAAAAATACAAAAAACTAGCCGGGCGAGGTGGCGGGCGCCTGTAGTCCCAGCTACTCAGGAGGCTGAGGCAGGAGAATGGCCCGAACCCGGGAGGCGGAGCTTGCAGTGAGCTGAGATCCGGCCACTGCACTCCAGCCTGGGCGACAGAGCGAGACTCCGTCTCAAAAAAAAAAAAAAAAAAAAAAAAGTCTATTTAGGGCCGGGCACCATGGCTCATGCCTGTAATCTCAGCACTTTGGGAGGCCAAGGTGGGTGGATCACCTGAGGTCAGGAATTTGAGACCAGCCTGGCCAACATGATGAAACTCTGTCTCTGCTAAAAATATATATACATACAAAATTACCCAGGTGTGGTAATGGCACCTGTAATCTCAGCTACTCAGGAGGCTGAGGCAAGAGAATTGCTTGAACCCAGGAGATGGAGGTTGCAGTGAGCCAACATGGTCCCACTGCACTTCAGTCTGGGTGACAGAGTGAGACTCCATCTCAAAAAAAAAAAAAAAAAAAAGGTCGGCATTATTCACAATAGTTAAGACTTGGAATCAACCCAAATGTCCATCAGTGACAGACTGGATTAAGCAAATGTGGCACATATACACCATGGAATACTATGTAGCCATAAAAAAGGATGAGTTCGTGTCCTTTGTAGGGACATGGATGCAGCTGGAAACCATCATTCTCAGCACACTATTGCGAGAGCAGAAAACCAAACACCTCATGTTCTCACTCATAGGTGGGAATAGAACATTGAGATCACTTGGACACAGGAAGGGGAACATCACACACCAGGTCCTATTGTGGGGAGGGGGTGGGGGGAGGGATAGCATTAGGAGATATACTTAATGTAAATGACAAGTTAATGGGTGCAGCACACCAACATGGCACACATATACATATGTAACAAACCTGCACATTGTGCACATGTACCCTAGAACTTAAAGTATAAAAAAAAAATAAATAAATAAATAAAAGGTCTATTCAGTTGGGAACAAAAAATGCTAAGATTATCCTCAAGATTCTCAGTTTGTTGTACACCTGCTGTGTAATCTTTTCTTTTCTTGTAAAAAACAATGTGTGACTGTGGTGGGAAATCACTCACGAAATTAGGTTACTATTGGGTAAACTAAATCAGAGGTGCTTTTAATAGAAAGAGACACATCATAGAAAAAAACTCCCTGGCCTGGAAGTAAGTGATTTCCAGCTGGGCCATGTTGTAATCTGCTCATAGTGGCAACATGGAAGGAAATATATTTGTATATTGTCATTATATCTGCCTCCTACATGTTGCTTCAAGCAGGGAGAACAGGAGGATCCCATGGAAAAGGGAAAAAAAGAGGTCTCATTTGTGCAAGAGATAATCACTTCTAATCTGGAATAGCTTATGATAAACAGAAGAGACCACAACATGACCACATCAATGGGAGAAAAGAGGAAACATGGTTAAAAGTGCTTACTGGCATTTTTAGGCAGCATTTAGTAAGCCTTAGTGAATGATCAGCCTCTGGAATACCAACAGTCTACCAACAAGTCTGAACTCATTCTGGTTAAATCAGCATTCTAGTGGAACAGTTTTACACTATTCATTACAGAAATACTATGGAGATGAGTGAGTACCCTGCTAAAATTGACCTTACTATGAAAAAACATACCTAATTATTTGTTTTCACAATTTAAAAACCCTGAAAATGACCAGGCGCAGTGACTCACGCCTGTAATCCCAGCACTTTGGGAGGCTGAGGCAGGTGGATCAAGAGGTAAGGAGTTCAAAACCAGCCTGGCCACGATGGTGAAACCCTGTCTCTAAAAAAACTACAAAAATTAGCCAGGCGCAGTGGCAGGCACCTGTAATCGCAGATACTCAGGAGGCTGAGGCAGGAGAATTGCTTGAACCTGGGAGGCAGAGGTTGCAGTGGGCCAAGATCACATCATTGCACTCCATCCTAGGTGACAGTGACTCTATTTCAAAACAAACAAACAAAAAACCTTGAAAACATCATAAATTTATTAAAAATGTACTTCTGGCCAGGCGCAGTGGCTCAAGCCTGTAATCCCAGCATTTTGGGAGGCCGAGACGGGCAGATCACGAGGTCAGGAGATCGAGACCATCCTGGCTAACACGGTGAAACCCCGTCTCTACTACAAAATACAAAAAACTAGCTGGGCGAGGTGGCAGGCGCCTGTAGTCTCAGCTACTGGGGAGGCTGAGGCAGGAGAATGGCATAAACCCGGGAGGCGGAGCTTGCGGTGAGCTGAGATCTGGCCACTGCACTCCAGCCTGGGCGACAGAGCAAGATTCCATCTCAAAAAAAAAAAAAAAAAAAAAGTACTTCTGCTAATTATGGAGCATTCTACTATACTGTAATACAATATTGAACTTTAAGCACCTTAATATGAATGTTTCTTGAGTGCATGAAGAGTTATGTTGATAGTTTCTTTTAAATTAACATGCGAGAAGTAACAAAAGATTTGAAGTGGAATAAATAATCTAAAACACTTTTTTTCCCCAAAGGCTTGGCATAGTTGCCTGCTTTTTGAAATGGCTAGATTACTAACCAGAAGCAAAAACAAGATTTTCGTTTTTCTCAATCAGTATGTTTTTGACATTTTGAAATTTAGAATCCTGGCTAAAGGATTTTAGTAAGTGGCTTACTAAAGTAGTCAAGGCAATACAAGGAGAATTTTGACAGGTAGGAAAATGCATACTATATACACACATTGCCCTTCCCTGATTTGCTTCTTTTTTTTTTTTTTTTTTTTTGAGACAGAGTCTTGCTCTGTTGTTCCAGCTGGAGTGCAGTAGTGCTGCAACCTCTGCCTCTTGGGTTCAAGCAGTTCTCCTGCCTCAGCCTCCCGAGTAGCTGGGATTACAGGCGCACACCACCATGCCCGGCTAATTTTTGTAGTTTTAGTAGAGACGGGGTTTCACCATATTGGCCAAAGTGGTCTCGAACTCCTGACCTTGTGATCGACCCACCTTGGCCTCCCAAAGTGCTGGGATTACAGGCATGAGCCACCGCGTCTGGCCCTCTGACTTGCTCTAATATTGAAAGACTGCAGATTGCAAATCTAGTCTCTTGATTTAGAGTAAATTATCAAAATACTTATTTTCCAGTCAAATAATTGTATAAAATCAATGGGTAGGGTTGAGCCTGCACACTCTTCAACTGTAGACAGGTCTGCCAGCAAGAACTGGCACATGGACCCGGACCACTCCTTCCACGCCTGCCACTTCCTGCAAGGGGCACAGGAGGTCACTCCTGGACTAGATATGAGCTGAGACTGGCGAGGAGGAGGAGGAGGAGGAGGAGGTAGGAGAGACAGGGTCTGTCAGGTTTGGTGGGGACACAGGAGGGGTGGGGGGAAGTGGTGGTGCCGACGAGGACGGAGAAGAGGGGTCAGGGTAAGGGGGAGGTTGGGCGGGTGACCGAAGAGGGGGCAGGGAAAGAGTATCAGGAGGCTAAGAGAAGGAGGAAGAATTGTCCTTCTCCTTGCTTGAGGGAGTAGATTTCACCAGCAAGACCTGGGGCAACGAACATCGGGCCCAGATGACCGGGTGTGAACGCAAGTCCCAAAAGGCCTGAACACAGGGTACCTCAGACCATTTGCCTAGTCTCTTGCAGAAGTTGGTCAGATCCGTGAGAATGGTAAAGTCTAGAGTGCCCTCTGCAGGCCACTGAGACTAGTTATCCAATTTATACTGCGGCCATGCCACTGTGCAGAAGAAAATAAGCGGCTTTCCTTTTAGGTCTTGGCTGAGACCTAAAGTCTAGAAATTAGCCAAGAGGCACCCCAGAGGGCATTTTGGGTCTGGTTTGGACTGGGCAGCCCTCATGGTCCTGAGGCAGGCAGTCCGGAGGCAGCAGGAGCGTCCTCTCACTGCCACATGGAGTGCGGCTACGGTGGCTTCCGGGGAGGTTGGACGTCTCCTAGTCCCCGGTGCCGAGGTCACAGTTGACCGGAGGGAGCCCCTGACGTGGCCGCGCGTTTCAGACAGGGATTCCCGGAGGGGGCCTGCAGGACAGGGGAAAACTTACCCAGCAGTGATCCAATCAAGTCTTGATTTTGGTGAAAACGGCTCCCGGCGCAGAGAGGAGGTCCCGGCTCAGAGGAGAGGAGAGCCTACCCGGACAGGCGGGGAACTGGGGGAAGCTTCCTCCCAGGCTTTCAGCAGCAATGTAATGTAAATGAGGGAGCCAAGCAAGAAGACACCAGGCATATGAGAACAAAGGCAGCCTTTATTGGGCTCATGGGAGAGGTTAACCGGTCCTCTAGCAGGAGGGCCGAGGAAGTCGCGCTTGGGGCGAGTATCGGGGGCCTTTTGTAGGGTGAGGTAGGCGGGGTTTGTAGGTTTCAGCTTTCTTGAGGTAGGTTTCGATTTCTGGGGAATAACATGTTCCGGAGCTGACGCAGAGCGGGGGTTCTTTGGCGGGTGTGGGCTTTTTTTGCACCCTGAGTCTTAGCAGGAAGTGAAGGGCAGGGAGTCCTAACAAAGGGCCTGCCATGCCAGGTGATATCGCCATGTTGGGTCTGAATTCCTGCCTAACTACAACCCGCTTTATGTTCATAATGTATGTCGTCAAAATGAATACTCTTCACTTTAGAGGCTTATATTTTCTGAAAGACTTGACGTAATTGCATGTATAATGCTTTTATTAAGTATGAACTCTCTGATGCTGAGATGTGAACAGGTATTAATGGCTTTTTCACATTCTGTATATTTGACATTTTTTTTCTAGTACAAATCGTTTCCTGTGCAATAAGGTGTGAGCATTGGTTACAAGTTTTGCCACATTCTTCACACTACGGTTTTTAGCATGAATTATCTTATGTACAATGAAGCATGACAACCTTTAAAGGTTTTGTTACATTCTTCAGATTTCTAAGATTTCTCTCCAGTATAATTTCTTTTATGTTTAGAAAAATTTGAGGTGTTTTCAAAACCACTGTTACATCTTTTAGGTTTGTAGTTTCTCACCAGTATGAATTTTCTTATGTACAGTAAGATTTGAGGACTGGTTAAAAGCTTTGCCACATTTTTCACATTGGTAGGGTTTCTCTCCAGTATGAATTCTCTTATGTCTAGTAAGGTGTGAGGACTGGTTAAAGGCTTTACCACATTCTTCACATTGGTAGAATTTCTCTCCAGTATGAATTACTTTATGTGTAGTAAGGTGTGAGGAATGGTTAAAGGCTTTGCCACATTCTTCACATGTGTAGCGTTTCTCTCTAGTATGAATTTTCTTATGTTCAGTAAGTTTTGAGGATCGATAGAAAGCTTTGCCACATTCTTCACATTTGTAGGATTTCTCTCCAGTATGAATTCTCTTATGTGTAGTAAGAATTGAGGACTGGTTAAAAGCTTTGCCACATTCTTCACATTTGTAGGGTTTCTCTCCAGTATGAATTCTTTTATGTGTAGTAAGGTTTGACAACTGCTTAAAGGCTTTGCCACATTCTTCACATTTGTATGGTTTCTCTTCAGTATGAATATTCTTATGTTCAGTAAGGTTTGAGGATTGGTTAGAAGTTTTGCCACATTTTTCACATTGGTAGGGTTTCTCTCCAGCATGAATGCTCTTATGTCTAGTAAGGTGTGAAGACTTGTTAAAAGCTTTGCCACATTCTTCACATTTGTAGGGTTTCTCTCCAGTATGAATCATCTTATGTGTAGTAAGGTGTGAGGACTGTCTAAAGGCTTTGCCACATTCTTCACATTTGTAGGGCTTCTCTCCAGTATGAATTATCTTATGTCTGGTAAGGTGTGAGGACTGGTTAAAGGCTTTACCACATTCTTCACATTTGTAGCCTTTCTCTCCAGTATGAATTATCTTATGTCTGGTGAGGTGTGAGGGCTGGTTGAAAGCTTTGCCATATTCCTTATATTCATTGAGTTTCTCTCTAGTATGAATTATCTTATGTGTAGTAAGGGTTGAGGACTGATTAAAGGCTTTGTCACATTCTTCATGTTTGTAGGGATTCTCTCCAGTATGAATTATTTTATGTGTTGTAATGTGTGATGACAGGTTAAAGGCTTTGCCACATTCTTCACATTTGTACGGTTTCTCTCCATTATGAATTCTTTTATGTTTAGTAAAGATTAAGGATCCATTAAAGGCTTTTCCACAGTCTTCACATTTGTAGAAATTTACTCTAGTACAAGTTATTTTACGTTGAGTTAGGTTTGAAAACATGCAAAATGATTTGCCAAATTCTTTACATTTAAAAGGTTTTTTTCCAGTGTGTCTTATCTTATGTCCATTTAAATTTGAAAATTTATGAAAGATTTTCATATATTCATCACAATGAAATAGTTTGCTCTGGGTAGCTGGCAAACATTGGTTAAGTCCATTGTAACCTCCTTTTTGCACCTTGCACTCATCCACACTTTTACCACATTTTCTTAACTGTAAATTCTCATGTTCACATTTTCCATGTCTTCTCAGTGTCACTTTTTGGAAAGAATCTTTTATGTTCTGCTCTGGTGAAAAGTCTTGGGCAAAATGAGAACAAGTAACTGAAAGAAATAAAAATAACAAACGACTTCACTTGATAGACTCTAAATATACTTTACAAATCCAACCTATACCATTATACAAATTACACAAGCAAGATGGCATAGCAAAATACCAAAGGCCCTAATTTCTTCTTTTTTTTTTTTTTCTGAGATGGAGTCTCAATCTGTCACTTGGGTTGGTCTGCAGCAGCGTGATCTCAGCTCACTGCAACCTCTGCCTCCCAGATTCAAGCAATTCTTTTGCCTCAGCCTCCTGAGTAGCTAGGATTACAGGCATGCACCACCATGCCCAGCTAATTTTTGTATTTTTAGTAGAAATGGGGTTTCACCATGTTGGCCAGGCTGGTCTCAAATTCCTGACCTCGTGATCTGCCCACCTCAGCCTCCCAAAATGCTGGGATTACAGGCATGAGCCACCGTGCCCAGCCCAAAGGCCCTAATTTCTTAATAGAAATATAAATGTAACAAAACCACATTGACCAAAATACATTTGTGGAAAATTTATAAATTAGTTAAGTGTGTGAGCAGAATGCAAAGAGCCACATAGAAAGAAAAGTCTGTTACATTTACCCAACACAGATCTTTCTGCTCCCCAATATAACATAATACCTTTAAAAGTAAATTGCCAACTTCAATTATTTTGCATATAGACGTACACCTGAGAGCGGATAATTTATAAAGAAAAAAGGTTGGCAGGACACGGTGGCTCATGCCTGTAATCACAGCACTTTGGGAGGCCAAGACAGGCGAATCAACTGAGGTCAGGAGTTTGAGACCAGCCTGACCAACATGGTGAAACCCTGTCTCTACTAAAAATACAAAATTAGCCAGGCATGGTGGTGCATGCCTGTAATCCCAGCTACTCAGGAGGCTGAGGCAGGAGAATCACTTGAACCAGTGAGGCAGAGGCTGCAGTGAGCCAAGATTGTGCCACTGCAGTCCAGCCTAGGTGACAGAGTGAGACTATGTCTCAAAAAAAAAAAAAAAAAAAGAAAAAAAGGAAAGAAAAAAAGAAAAAAAGTTATTTGGTACACACTTTGGCAGACTGTACAAGAAGTGTGTGCCAACGTTGGCTTCTGGTGAGGGTTTCACAAAGCTTATAATCATGGTGAAATGCAAAGAGTAACTGAACATACCACATGGCAAGGGACAGAGCAAGTGTGAAATAATGAACCAGTTCTCATTTAAATTAACAGAGGGTAAAGTTTTTGTTTACCAAGAGGTTGATGTAAAGCCGTAACACCTCCCACCAGGTTCTGCATCCAACATTGAGGACTGCATTGCAGCATAATATTTGGGGATTGTGAACATTTAGGTTATATCATAGACCAACAAGGCTTGACAGACACGTAAAAAATTTCCAGTTAAAAGCAAGAAAATACACAATATTCTTATTTGCACCTGGTGTATTCTGTTAGGATACACAACAAGTCTTATTAAGAATACCAGGTGGGTGCTGTGGCTCATGCCTATAATTTCAACACTTTGGGAGACCAAGATGGGAGGATCTCTTCGGGTCAGAAGTTTGAGACCAGCCTAGGCAACATAGTAGTACTCTGTCCCTACAAATAATCAATAAATTAGCCAGGCATGGTAGTGTATCTCTGTAGTCCCAGCTACTCAGGAGGCTGAGGTGAAAGGAGCACTTGAGCCCCGAAGGTTGAGGCTGCAGTAACTGCACTCCAGTCTCGGTAACAGAAAGAGATCCTGTCTCAAATTGACAACAACAACAACAAATAAATGCAAGAAAATAAAAATTATACACCGAATGTTTTCTGACTAAAACTGAATGAAACTGGAAATTGAGAGCACAAGTAAAACTGGCACATCCAAATATATATGAAAATAACACATACTCTTCAACATAGTTTTACTCAAGGGTCAAAAAATTTAATTTTTCAAAGATGTCTATACAACTTACAGTGATGAATACATTCAATATAATTTCTATAAAAATCCCCAAAGCACAATTTTTACAAGAATATTGTTTAAAATTTTTTAATTTGATTATAAACTAGAGCCAAACACTCATGAAAAAGAACAAGGAGGTGTTATATATCTGGATTTTAAAATATATTAATAGCTACAAATATAAGGTGGTACTGACACAAACACAGATAAACAGATGAAAAAACAGAATAGACAGCCCAGAAATACACTCTTCGGTATATGATTAAATAATCTTTTACAACGTTGCCATGAGCACACAATAGAGAAAAGACAATCTCTTCAAAAAATCATGTTGAAAACTGGACACCAACACTGATAAAGCTGGATTCTTTCTTTGTATCATATACAAAAAATATTTTAAATAAAATACTTAAACATATAAAAATTACTAACAAATCTCTTAGGAAAGAAAGAGAAATGATGTGATGTTGGTCTTGGCACCATTTTTTTTTGATATGACATTAAATGCATGAACAACAAAGAAAAAAGTAACTACACTACACTTCAAAATTTCCACACATCAAAAAAACATTAGAGTGATAATACCTTGTAGAAAATAAGCAAAAATATTTGCAAATTATATGTGATAAGAGTTAACTGTAGGGAGCTAAAGGCCCGAGGGTCATGACCAACTCAGCATTCCACTGAAGGCTATGTGATCAAACAGCAAACTGTTTATCATGAGTGCAGGATGTAGGTAAATTCACATCTGTGCCTGCCACCAGAAGGTTTGCTGAGGGCAGTCACTCCCTGGTGCCGTGCCGTGCTCCTTGAGGTTATCTACTGGAATATCTGGAGACTACTGCTCAAAGAATGCAGTCGTGCAAGCCTGCCCTAAGTGACTGACAACCACCCCCTTCTCCCTTCTCCCTCTCTCTCTTACTCAATAAATACCAAGGGCTATTGAAGTTCAGGACCCTTGTTCACTAGAAGCAAGGAGCCCCCTGACCCCTTCTTCCAAATATACTCTTTTGTTTTTGTCTTTATTCCCGCATTCATCCTCCTTTGTTCAGTCAAGCAAGGTCCATGGCAGTTAATACTGAGAATATATAAACAAGTCTTAAATGGACTAATAATTGAAATTCGTTTTCATCAAAAAAATACAAAAATGGGAAAAAGCGTTTGAAAGGACACAGGAAATTACATTTGTACAGAAATGCATAAAAATCACGTGAAAAAATCAACTCAAACCAATTAGAATGGCCACTATCAATTTTTTAAAAACATTAAATCTGGGCCGGGCGCGGTGGCTCAAGCCTGTAATCCCAGCACTTTGGGAGGCCGAGACAGGTGGATCACGATGTCAGGAGATCGAGACCATCCTGGCTAACACAGTGAAACCCCGTCTCTACTAAAAAATACAAAAAACTAGCCGGGCGAAGTGGCGGGTGCCTGTAGTCCCAGCTACTCGGGAGGCTGAGGCAGGAGAATGGCGTGAACCCGAGAGGAGGAGCTTGCAGTGAGCTGAGATCCGGCCACTGCACTCCAGCCTGGGTGACAGAGCAAGACTCCGTCTCAAAAAAAAAAAAAAAAAAAATTAAATCTGTTGAACTGAAAACCCGTTACCTGTTGGTGTAAAACAAGGATGCAGCCACTGTTTTTAAATGTTATAAATGTTACTCAAATAATTAAAAATGGAATTATTAGGCCGGGCGCGGTGGCTCAAGCCTGTAATCCCAGCACTTTGGGAGGCCGAGATGGGCGGATCACGAGGTCAGGAGATCGAGACCATCCTGGCTAACACAGTGAAACCCCGTCTCTACTAAAAATACAAAAACTTAGCCGGGCGAGGTGGCAGGCGCCTGTAGTCCCAGCTACTCGGGAGGCTGAGGCAGGAGAATGGCATGAACCCGGGAGGCGGAGCTTGCAGTGAGCTGAGATCCAGCCACTGCACTCCAGCCTGGGTGACAGAGCGAGACTCTGTCTCAAAAAAAAAAAAAAAAAAAATGGAATTATTAAATACAACAATTCAATTTGTAAATCGATATGCAAACTCTGCAATGTAGGACCTAGAAGGCATATCTGAACACTGATGTTTACTGTACCAGTATTCACAAAACCCAAAAGACTGAAGCTACCCTTCCTTGACTTATAAATACATCAACAAATGTAACATATAAGTACAGTGGAATATTATTCAGCCCTAAAAAAAATCTTGACACACTTTAAGACAAATTTTGATAATATTATGTCACCTGAAATAAGCCAGTAACAAAATGATGGATACTGTATGATCTCATTTATAGGAGATATCTTAAGTAGTCACACTCATAAAAACAGAAAGTAGAAGGATATTTGTCAAGGGCTGGAGAAAGGGTAAAATGTTCAGCTGTTACTTAATGGATATTGAGTTTTAGTTTTACAAGATGTAAAATTTTCAGAAGTCTTTTGCATAACAATGTGAATATACTTAACATGCCTGATATGTACAGCTTTTTTTTGAGACAGGGTCTCATTCTGTCATGCAAGGCAGAGTGCAGTGGCACAATTATGGGTAAGTGTAGCCTCAAATTCCCAGACTCAAGTAATCTTCCTCTCTCAATCTTTCAAAGAGCTGGGACCACAGTTGCACCCAACCATGCCTGGGTTTAAAAAAAAAAAAAAAATTGTAGAGAGGGAATCTCCATATGTTGCCCAGGCTGGTCTCAAACTTTTGGGATCAAGCAATCCTCCTGCCTTAACATCCCCAAATTCTGGGATTACACATGTAAGCCACAACCATGCCTGGCCCTGAAATGTACACTTCAATAGACTTAAGATGGTAAATTTTATGTTATGTGTTTTTACAATTAATTTTTCTCAAAATAAATCTGAAAAAATACAGAATCATAAATCTTTTCATAAATTATCTTCAAATCACAAAAGTATTTCTTTCACACAGAGCAAATATATATTCATCATTAAACACATGGTGAAAATAAAACTATTTCCATGACTACTCAATTAGACAAGATAAAACCACCACTGAAAATTAAGAAAAAAAAAAAGTGGCAAGGGGGTGGGCCAGGCACAGTGGCTCATGCCAGTAATCTCAGCACTTTGGGAGACCGAGGTGAGCGGATCACCTGAGGTCGGAAGTTTGAGACGAGCCTGGCCAACATGTGAAACCCCATCTCTACTAAAAATACAAAAATTATCTGGGTGTGGTGACATGCACCTGTAATCCCAGCTACTTGGGTGGCTGAGACTGGAGAATTGCTTGAACTTGGGAGGCAGAGGTTGCAGTTAGCCAAGATCATGCCATTGCACTCCAGCCTGGGAGACAGAGTAAGACTCCATCTCAAAAAAACAAAGAAAAAGAAAAAGAAAAAATCAGTAAACTAAGAAAGAATATATACAAGATAAGTCATAACCAAAATTGTGGTTATTATTTATAGATAAACACACAAATATATATACTGTCATTGTGATAGACATATGGCTGATGTATCTCTGAAGTAAATCCCACATTGACTTAAAATGTACAAACAGAATTGCAAATTGTCTGAAATTATAATACATATGTAAAATTAAAAAGCACAAGAAACTAATATTAAGAAACCTACACTAAAAAAACACACTAGTATGAACTGGAAAACAATAATGAGAGAAATGTTTACTCAAAATACAGTTTGCAGCCAGGTGTGGTGGCTCATGCCTGTAATCCCAGCACTTAGGGAGGCTGAGGTGGACAAATCTGACCTCAGAAGTAGGAGACCAGCCTGGCCAACACAGGGAAACCCCATCTCTACTAAAAATATGAAAATTAGCCAGGCCTTGTGGCATGTGCCTGTAGTCCCAGGTACTCTGGAGGCTGAAGTGGTAGGATCCCTTGAACATGGGAGGCAGAGGTTGCAGTGAGCTGAAATCACTCCACTGCACTTCAGCCTATGCAAGAGAGTGAGACTGCATCTCCAAAAAAAAAAAAAAAAAAAAAAAAAAAAGGCCGGGCGCAGTGGGAGGCTGAGGTAGGTGGATCATCTGAGGTTGGCGGTTCAAGACCAGCCTGACCAAAATGGAGAAACCCCGTCTCTACTGAAAAAAAAAGTACAAAATCAGCCAGGCATGGTGGCATATGCCTATAATCCCAGCTACTAGGGAGGCTGAGGCAGGAGAATTGCTTGAACCTGGCAGGTGGAGGTTGCAGTGAGCCGAGACTGAGCCATTGCACTCCAGCCTGTGCAATAAGAGCAAAACTCCACCTCAAAAAAAAAAAAAAAAAAATGTGGTTTGCAATATTGATGTACCATTAAAAATTTCTCTAAATAGGCCGGGTGTGGTGGCTCACACATGCAATCCCAGCACTTTGGGTGGCTGAGGCGGGTGGATTACTTGAGGTTGGGAGTTCAAGACCAGCCTGACCAACATGGTGAAACCCCGTCTCTACTAAAAATACAAAATTAGCCGGCCGGTTTGGCACATGGCTGTAATCCTAGCTACTCGGGAGTCTGAGGCAGGAGAATCGCTTGAACCTGGGAGGCAGAAGTTGCAGTGACCCTAGACTGCGCCATTGTACTCTAGTCTGAAGACAGAGTAAGACTCCGTCTCAAAAAAAAAAAAAAGGAAACAAAAACAAAAACAAAAACAAACTCTATTCTCTACATCAATGTAATATGTGACTGTGTACTCACAGAAGGCAGGTATTTTGAATAACTGGCATGTGCTCCACGGCAGTAAAATTTCAAAGAAAATGAAGTGCAATCATAAACAGAAGATTCTAATGAGAAATTTTTAATAAATAAGCATTTAAAAGAAACTAATGAGAAACTTTTAATAAGCATTTAAAAGAAACTAGAGACAATTTTTTTTTTTTTTTTGAGACGGAGTCTCGCTCTGTCACCCAGGTTGGAGTGCAGTGGCACGATCTCCGCTTACTGCAACCTCTGCCTCCCGGGTTCATGCCATTCTCTTGCCTCAGCCTCCTGAGTAGCTGGGACTACAGGCTCCTGCCACCATGCCTGGCTAATTTTTTTTTTGTAGAGATGGGGTTTCATCATGTGAGCCTGGATGGTCTCTATCTCCTGACCTCGTGATCTGCCCACTTCGGCCTCCCAAAATGCTGGGATTACAGGCGTGAGCCACTGCACCCAGTCTGAGGTTGGAAAATTGCTTCAGGCCAGGATTTCAAAACCAGCCTGGGTTATGTAGCAAGACCCAATCTCCAAATTAAGTGCCTTTAGGAGAGCTTTGAGATCCACGGAGGGAGTTGTGAAACTGCTAATGCCCAATTCTGAGGAATGCTCCTTTTCAGAAGGCAGGTGGCAAACTACAGAACTCCTGTTTTCCAGTGTAGACCAGGAAATGGCCTACCCAACTTGGTCTTCTGATAATTCTGAAATTACCCTGTAATCATCTCATACTTTTCCCAGCCACAGTCTGTAAGAGGTCACACCCTTTCAGAGGCCTTGAGAAAGGTACCCACTTATAGCCATGCAGCAGGCCTGCAGACCTTGGTCCCTGAAGCAGTTCAATGACTCAGTTTCAGATACCTGAGCCACAGTTCACAGCCAGTTCTGCCTATGTTAAAGCCCACTCAGTGACCTGGAAAAATCCTCTCTGATACACAGTGAATGCCATACTCATCCACATTCTTAAATAAGACTTACCATATACAGACCTGACTGCAGAAACCTGCCCTAGTGTCTGCCCTACAGGTCAAAGCCTTGAGGGAAATTCAGTCTGTCCAAAAAATAAAATGTGAATTACAACTACCCAAACCCCTTGTAAGAAGCCAACTGAAGGTGGACCCCAGTGCAGACCCAGCAGCCTTGTGACCAAGCTACATCCCCTTTCCACTACAAACCCAGAGGGCATCTCATGACCCTGGGGGCCCAATAAAAGATCTTTACCTTCTGAAAACAGGTTATAAAAACTTGAAGAGGTGTTTGCTTTTTCAAGTTTAAAGACACTAATACAAAACTGCATTTTGCCTATTGTCAATGCTTCCATTTTAACAAAGAACATTAAGTATGTGGCAAAAGAATTAGTCAAAAAAATGAAAAAGAGCCATTGAAACTGAAGACAAGGGCCGGGCATGGTGGCTCACGCCTGTAATCCCAGCACTTTGGGAGGCCGAGGCGGGTGGATCACAAGGTCAGGAGTTCGAGACCAGCCTGGTCAACATACTGAAACCCATCTATACTAAAAATACAAAAATTAGCCAGGCATGGTGGTGCGTGCCTGTAGTCCCAGCTATTTGGGAGGCTGAGGCAGGATAATCGCTTGAACCTGGGAGGCAGAGGTTGCAGTGAGCCGAGATTGCACCACTGTACTCCAGCCTGGGCAACAGAGTGAGACTTTGTCTCAAAAAAAAAAAAAATCTTATTTACGACAGCATTAAAATAAATTTCTGAGAAGAAATGTAATCAAAGAGTTAGAAAATCTTTACAATGAAAGATATATCAATGAAAGAAATTAGAAAAGACACAAATAAATTGGAAATATTTCATGTCTATAGATTGAAAGAATAAATACTGCTAAAGTGCCATGTTGGCCAGGCGTGGTGGCTCACGCCTGTAATCCCAGCACTTTGGGAGGCTGAGGCAGGCAGATCACGAGGTCAAGAGATGGAGACCATCCTGGCCAACATAGTGAAACTCTGTCTCTTAGTATACTAAAACAAAAAATAGCTGGGCGTGGTGGTGAGCTCCTGTAGTTCCAGCTACTTGGGGGGCTGAGGCAGGATAATAGCTTGAACCTGGAAGGGAGAGGTTGCAGTGAGCCAAGATTGTGCCACTGCACTCCAGCCTGGCAAAAGAGTGAGACTTCGTCTCAAAATAAAAAGTGCCATGTTAATGGCACTTAGATCTATAGATTCAAAAAATGGCACTTGATCTATAGATTCAATAAACTCCCTATCAAAATTCCAGTGGCGTTTTACAGTAATGAAAAATACAAGTCTAAAATTTATATATGAAACTACAATAAACTTTGAATAGTGAAAGCACTCTTGAGAAAATAAAAACAAAGCTGAACGACATCATACTTTATAATTTCAAACTATATTTGAAGACTATAGTAATACAAACAGGATGGAATGTGCAGAGAAATGAACAAAAACCTACTACTCTCACACATTGCAGAGGTGATGCAAAAAGAGAACTTAAAAAATAGTTTAACATAGAGTTTCTCAAAATTATGCAGATATCTGTGTGTCCCCCAAAACAATGGAAAAGCACTCAGATTGTGCAGTCTCTTATATGCCATTAAGACGACTTTGGCTCTCACTCTAAATTAGAAGGCAGATCACTGAAGGCAAAGCAGAGTCCTAAGAGAACTTAAAAGCATAAGACAGAAGACGCTGTTATGTGAGAGCAAAATAGAAAAACTCGGCCAGGTGCTGTGGCTCATGCCTGTAATCCCAGCACTTTCAGAGGCCAAGGTGGGTGGATCACCTAAGGTTAGGAGTTCAAGACCAGCCTGGCCAACACACAGTGAAACCCTGTCTCTACTAAAAAAAAAAATACAAAAATTAACTGGGCATGATGGCGCACACCTGTAGTCCCAGCTACTTGGGAAGCTGAGGCAGAAGAATCGCTTGAACCCTGGAGGTGGAGGTTGCAGTGAGCCGAAACTGTGCCACTGCACTCCGGCCTGGGTGACAGAACTAGACTCCATCTCTCAAAAGAAAAAAAAAAAAGAAAAGAAAAACTTGGGCTTTCCAGAAGTGAGCTGAGATTGAGACTGTGCCACTGCACTCCAGCCTGGTTGACAGAGTGAGACTCCATCTCTTAAAGGAAAAAAAAAGAAAAGAAAAGAAAAACCCAGGCTTTCCAGAAACTACTTCCTTTGGAACATAGCTTCCCAAATCACATTATTAAGGACTAGCTTTTTCTTTGACCTTTAAACCGTTCATCTATGTTATCTGTTGTATTCACTTTCACTCTCACCTACCTGGTTTGGCCACCATCCTATGTCTCTTTCTAGTCCAAGGCTCTTTTTCTTGCTCCAGACAGGTGATCAGATCTGGCTTAGAGACAGCAATACCTGTTTTATTGAAAATAAATAACATAAATCTTGCTCATATTCTCTAATCACCAACATGGCAATGTGCTCAGTAAAGAGGGTGAAATAGAAGATTCTTGTAAATCAATTCCAAAATATTGATTTACAAAAGAAATTTCTAAATATTTAGAAAATATTTTAAATTTGTTAGTTCTTAATTTCACTGTCCAGTCCAGTACAACAAATCAAAAATTAGTGTTGGTAATTAGATTTTAAAGTGTGGGCAATAATATTTTATGCCACTAAACTTCTGGAATTACCACTCTAATCTAGAGTGAAGAATACAGATTAGCTCAGGAATGCAGAAAGTTCAGGTCAAGATGAAACAGCTTAAAGAAATTCTTTTCTACAGAGATGAAACCCTAAGATTTTTATAAAAACAGGGATCTGAAACTCACTTATGCAAAGCATAAATTACCTAAAAACATTACACAAAAAAGAAAAATGAAATCTTTAGGATATAATAGGAATTCTGTATTGAAGTTATCCTCACCCAAGAAGACCAGGTTTCTGTAGTTCTCTAACATCACATTCCTATATAAATTCTGCTGTATAGTGTCCAGGCATTGCCACTCCTCCAGAGAGAATTCTACGGCCACATCCCTAAATTTCAATGGTTCCTGAAAAACACACACACACATACACATACATATTTACAAAGTGGCCATGGAAAGAATTTATAATTTGACTCAAGGTAAAATAAGAAAGTGAAGAGAACTGGTTCTGACTTACATAAATGACTGAAATTATCCAATAAAATAATTTTTTTTACACAGGAACATTCTCTGATCTATTCTCTAACTATGAGAAAAGAAAGTCACATTAGATCTACAACACCAGACCTAAATAAATTGCCAGTCAGAACGGTAATTATTAAAAAGTCAAGAAACAATAAATGCTGGTGAGGCTGTGGAGAAATATGAATGCTTTTACAATGTTGGTGGAAATGTAAATTAGTTCAACCATTATGGAAGACAGTGCGGTGATTCCTCAAGGATCTAGGACCAGAAATACCATTTGACCCAGTGATACCATTCCTGAGTATATACTCACAAGAATATAAATCATTCTACTAGAAAGACTAATATGTTTATTGCATCACTGTTTACAATAGCAAAGATATGGAACCAACCTAAATGCCCATCAATGATAGAATGGATAAAGAAAATGTGGTACATACACAACCATGGAATACTATGCAGCCATAAAAAGGAATGAGATCATGTATTTTGCAGGGACATGGATGCAGCTGAAAGCTATTATCCTCAGAAAACTAACACAGGAACAGAAAACCAAACACTGCATGTTGTCACTCATTAGTAAGAACTGAACAACGAGCACTCATAAACACAAGGAGAGAAACCACATACACCCGGGCCAGTCGGGGTGTGGGGGGACGAGGAGAGAAACAGCATTAGGATAAATAGCTAATGCATGCCGGGCTTAAAACCTAGATGATGGGTTGATAAGTACAGCAATCCACCATGACACATGTATACCTATGTAACAAACCTACACGTTCTGCACTTGTATCCCGAAACTTAAAGTAAAATAGAAAAAAATATATATTATAAAAGACTATACTTAGAAATAAATAACAAAAATTTTTCAATTTTTTTTTTTTTTTTTTGAGTTGCAGTCTCGCTCTGTCACCCAAGCTGGCGTGCCATGACATGATCTTGGCTCACTGCAACCTCTGTCTCATGGGTTCAAGCAATTCTCCAACCTCAGCCTCCAGAGTAGCTGGGATTACAGATGTCCGTCACCACACCTGGCTAATGTTTGTATTTTTAGTAGAGACAGGCTTTCACCATGTTGGCCAGGCTGGTCTCAAACTCCTCACCTCGTGATCCACTTGCCGTGCCCTCCCAAAATGCTGGGATTACAGGCATGAGCCACCTCAACCGGCTTATAAAAGTTGTAGTTAAGGCCGGGCCGGTGGCTCAAGCCTGTAATCCCAGCACTTTGGGAGGCCGAGACGGGCGGATCACGAGTTCAGCAGATCGAGACCATCCTGGCTAACACGGTGAAACCCCGTCTCTACTAAAATACAAAAAAAATTAGCCGGGCGAGGTGGCGGGCGCCTGTATTCCCAGCTACTCGGGAGGCTGAGGCAGGAGAATGGCGTGAACCCGGGAGGCGGGGCTTGCAGTGAGCTGAGATCCGGCCACTGCACTCCAGCCTGGGCAACAGAGCCAGACTCCATCTCAAAAAAAAAAAAAAAAAAAAAAAAAAAATTATAGTTAAAAGTGCTGAGATACTACAAAAGTAAAAAGAAAAAAGATTATGTTACAGGGCACTGTGCCTGAGATAACATATTATGTAATTTAATTTTTATAACACCCTGGGAGCTGGTACTGTTTAATAATTCCCAGGATTTAAAGTCCAGCATTTTTATTTCTTCTGTTTCTCTGTCATTGATTTTTTTTTAAATATAAACAATAAAAGCTAAATATAGACAGAAATGCAGAAAGAATTTAATGTATTTTAGAAAAATTTATATTCTTTATGTTTACTTTTTTGTGATTTGTGGAGCAACTCCTAGATCTGTAGGAATAGAAAACAAGTTGCTAGATAGAATGCAAGTACTAGTTTCAATAAAAAATTATAACCCTAAAATATATACTTTATTTTTAAAATTTATTTGCTTTTGTGTTTCGGGAATTGTAAGCACCAGCTCTAGAAAGGCAGCAGAATTCACCAGTCAAAACTCTGATCTCCACTAATCAGTTCTATGAGGCAACACCTCAGGGTAGGGCCAGACCTATATAAGGCCTCCAAAAAGGTGAACCTGAGCAGAACTGGGGCAGGGAGTGGATTCTATGTAGAATTCTGTTCTCTATGCCACTGGGATATTTCCAGTTCTGTTTTTCCTAAACCAACCTTAAAAAAAAACTTAAATCTCAGAGTTCGTATAATTTTAACCTTTCTTAGACACTGCCCTATCAATTATATGTAACATATACTAATAAGCAATTTAAATAAATTTATAAAGGTTTTCTAGGGTAATTTTATTAAAAGACAAATATGTATTAACAAATATGTAAAAGAAATAAATATCCCTTCAGGTGATGACATCACAAGTCACAATTATATAAAGAAAGTGGCACAAATACAGCCCAAGTTTTCTGCACACATCTGTTTATTGTACCAATTATATGATGTTTAATTTAACCATTATCCAGCTGTTAGTCTACACTAAAAGCTCCTGGATTGTAGGGACCATGACTGCTTCATCTATTTTTCTAATGGCCATATGAAAAGAAAACAATTTAGCCGGGCGTGGTGGCACATATCTGTAATTACAACTACTCGGGAGGCTGCCTCGAACAGCCTGGCCTCGTGGTCTGCCCGCCTCAGCCTCCCAAAGTGCTGGGATTACAGGCATGAGCCACCGCGCCAACCCTTTTGACTCCCATACATTTTTTAATAGAAGGAAAGAGAAACTGGGAATGCCACGGGCCAAAGCTCTTCCCACTCATGAACCCGGCATCCGTCTGGATTCTTCCCTGACGACCCTCCCATGGTCCCTGCACAATCCGGGAGAGACCCGGCGTTGCGGGTGCGGAGCCGCCCAGAGAGAGCTGCAGGCCAGGACGCAGTCACTGACCAGGGAAGAGACAGGACGCCCGGGGGGCTGGCTGGCTGCGCAGCCGCCATCTTATGGTCGAAGGGGACTAAGGCTGACCCGGGCGAGAACTCAGGGCGCAGATTGTGGAACTGACTGCGGCGAGGTCTGCGTCTCGCCATGGCCCCTTCCCCTGTCTCGGGATGTCGGACCCGGCATTCTCACCATTTCTAGGTTTCCGGGGACCCTGGCGTCTTAGATATGGATCTCCAATACCTGCCCGTCACGGAGCCACAGAGACTCGGCCCCTAGAAACAGAGGACACAGAGCAGTGAAAGCAAAACCTGGAGCTCCGGCTGCAGAGAGAGACAAAGGCCCCGCCAAACCCGGAAGCCGCCCTGTCCGCTCTACCTGCATTCCTGATTGGACAGTTCCCAGCCCAGCGTCCCTGATTAGATAATAAGTAAAACCCCACCCCCTCAGGTCCTGAATGACAGAAGATGTGATCAGATGCTCGGCCAAATGAAGACTAACAGCCTAAGTTGCAGCCTTTTCAGACAGGGATCCCTCCCAGAGCTGAGCTGGGCCCACCCAAAAGGGTATTTGCCTTTAACCGTCTGTGTAAGGTCACATGCATTTCAAATAATAGACTAGATAGCTATTCAAAAATAAATACATATATAATAACGATTATTTTAAAATTTCAGCTTTTATGACCGTCCTGGTTTCTGGCAGCCATAGTCCCTACCCTGACAGCCCCCAGCCCAGATGGCATTCAAATCTTCCTGGATGGGCTTGAAGCCCGTCACTCACCCGCTCTTTAGCACTGCCTTGTGTTGGTTACTCAGGCCCTGGGAAAGGAGGTGGGGATTGTAGGTCGAGGGTGGGAACCGCCTCACACCCAGAGTTCATCTGGTCTCACGCCAGCAAGTAAGCCCATGAAGCACAGCTCTAGACGCTGAGCGTTGGCACCTCCAGCTGCACTTTCTATTTATATATCAGGGTTGTTTTTTTTTTTAATTTTTATTTATTTATTTATTTTTAGATGGAGCCTTGCTCTGTTGCCCAGGCTGGAATGCAGTGGCACAATCTCAGATCACCACAATCTCTGCCTTACGGGTTCAAGCGATTCTCCTGCCTCAGCCTCCCGAGGAGCTGGGACTACAGGTGCGTGCCGCCATGCCTGGCTAATTTTTGTATTTTTAGTAGAGACGGGGTTTCACTATGTTCAGGCTGGTCTTGAACTCCTGACCTCGTGATCCACACCCCTCAGCTTCCCAAAGTGCTGGGGTTACAGGTGTGAACCACCGCGCCTGGCTATATATCAGGTTTTTAAAACCATAAACAGACACAAAAGCAGCCACTTTGATTGAGGAGAAAGTGGGAGCCTAAAGCAGCTGACCCTCAAACAGCTCCACCAAGCCCCAGGCCAGGCCATCTGAACCCTCCAAGGCCACATGATAGTTACAGAGGATGACAGTTCCCACAGGTGCTTATCAAACACTATGCTAGCTTCTCAGTCACAGAGTCTCAGAATTTCTCCTTGCCAATACCCTGTGAGGGGAGGCCCTGACTCACTAGAGCACAGGAGGTTCCTAAGCTCTTCCCAGGAAATGGTTAACAAAGTGTGGAGGTGGGGGAAAGCCCAGTCAGAACAAGTGACTTCCCAGGGTCTCCCTAGACTCCATCCCCTCCTCCACATGGGGCCAGGAGGTGAAGCGAGCAGCCTCCTAAACCCCTCCATCCCACTCTCTCCTTGGTCAAAGTGGCTGTTTTTGTGTTTGCTTATTTATGGGATTTCAAAAACCTGATTTTTTATTTTGAGTAGCTTCGGGCTTGTGTGTATTTGTATAGGCTTTATTAGAAAGAAAAGGGCTTAAGACAATAACATTTTTAAAATGTCTCAGTGGGGAATAGACTTCCATGTCATGATCGATATTGCTGACCTCCTTCTGCTGCCTTTGTGCAAAGTATAAAGTGTGAGAAATGGCATGTGCTGGGTTGTGGTTTCAGTATGGGAGGGCAGTTCCTTAAGATGGAAACCAAGTCTCACTGAGCTGTAGAGCCACACTCACCTTTTATCACATTCCCCACCATAGTCTTTCACTCTTCTTCTGTGCTTAAATTTCTTTCAATATACTTTATTTATTTATTTATTTTAAGACAGAGTTGTGCTGTGTTACCCAGGCTGGAGTGCCATGGTGCAATCTTGGCTCACTGCAACCTCCGCCTCCCAGGTCCAAGCAATCCTCCTGCCTCAGTCTCCGAAGAGTTGGGATTACAGACACGGGCCACCACGCCGGGCTAATTGTTGTAGGTTTAGTAGAGTAGGGGTTTCACCATGTTGGGCAGGCTGGTCTCGAACTCCTGACCTCATGGGATCTGCCCACCTTGGCCTCCCAAAATGCTGGGATTACAGGTGTGAGCCACCATGCCTGGCAAACATATATATTATTTTGATTATATATATAAGGTGTATATATACATATATATAGGGAATATATATGTGTATGTTTGTGTGTGTATATATGTGTATGTATATGTGTGTGCGATTTTGTGTGTGTGTGTGTACACATAGAGGTCTCACTCTGTCACCCAGACTGGAGTGTAGTGGCTGAATGAAGGGTCACTGCAGCCTCAACATCCAGTGATCCTTCTACCTCAGCCTGTTGAGAAGCTGGGACTATAGGCATGCAACATCAAACAAGGCCAATTTTTAAAATTTTTGTAGAGACTGAGTCTCACTACATTGCCCAGACTGGTCTTGAACCCCTGGGCTTAAGCAATCATTCCACCATGGCTTTCCAAAGTGTTTCGATTACAGGTGTTAGCCATCAAACCCTGCCAACAATATTTTTTAAAGAACTGTTACAACCAAATTATGAGCTATAGTTGTGCCACTGCATTCCAGCCTGAGCACCAGAGTGAGACCTTGTCTCCAAAAACAAAACAAAACAAAACAAAAAAACTTATGACCAAATTAATTTTTTTTTTTTTTTTTTTTGACGGAGCTCGTCACCCAGGCTGAGTGCGGGCCGATCTCAGCTCCTCAGCTCCCCCCCGTTTCCCCCCCCCCCCCCTAGCTGGCACCCCCCCCCCCCCTGGCTATTTTTTTTTTTTTAGTGAGACGGTTTCACCGTTAGCCGGATCGTCTCTCGATCTCCTGCCTGATCCCCATCCGCCCCCAAGCTATACACTAGCACCGCCCCCCAAATTAAATTTCTAAGGTTGTGTCCTCTGTGTCCCCTTCCTGCCCTGAAAGCTATCACTGTTAAATATTATGGGTATTGAGAAAATTGTTAGATATTATTAAGAAATTCCTATATATCCTCTAAGTGAGATAAGGTATTCTGATGTGACCCAATATTTCCTCACCCCTACCTCCAGAGTCTAAACTAGCAAATCAAATCAGGACACCCACAAAGAATAGCTGGTCATTTTCAATTAGAAAATTAAATACCAGCGATTTTAAAAAGAGAAGCCAAACTGAAATGCAGTGTAGTCAGGGCACAATTACCCTGGAATAGCCACTTCACACGGAATGACTGAGGAGCCTTTCTTTCTTTTTTTTTTTTTTTTGAGAGGGAGTCTTGCTCTGTTGCCCAGGCTGGAGTGCAGTGGCACGGTCTCGGCTCACTGCAAGCTCTGCCTGGTAGGTTCATGCCATTCTCCTGACTCAGCCTCCCAAGTAGCTGGGGCAACAGGCGCCCGCCACCACGCCTGGCTAATTTTTTTGTATTTTTAGTAGAGACGGGGTTTCACCGTGTTAGCCATGATGGTCTCGATCTCCTGACCTCGTGATCCGCCCGTCTCAGCCTCCCAAAGTGAGGAGCCTTTCTAAGATGAACAAATTTGGGTAACACAATTCTTTCTTTCCTTTTCTTTTTTTTCTTTTTTTTTTTTTTTTTTTTTTTTTTTTTTTTTTTAGTAGAGACGGGGTTTCACCGTGTTAGCCAGGATGGTCTCGATCTCCTGACCTCGTGATCCGCCCGTCTCGGCCTCCCAAAGTGCTGGGATTACAGGCTTGAGCCACCGCGCCCGGCCTTTTTTTTTTTTTTTTTTTTGCTCACTGCAACCTCCGCCTCCCGGATACAAGCAGTTCTCCTGCCTCAACCTCCAGAGTAGCTAGCTGGGTTTCCGGCGCACGCCACCACGCCCGGTTAATTTTTGTATTTTTTAGTAGAGACGGGGTTTCACCATGTTGGTCAGGCTGGTTTGGAACTCCTGACCTCGTGATCCTCCCGCCTCAGCCTCCCAAAGTGTTGAGATTACAGGCGTGAGCCACCGTGCCCCGCCCGGTAACATAATTTTTTCTACACCATTCTCAGCCTGGGCTGCCCCCCACCCCCGCCTCATTTCTAATGGCCATCCCACAATGTGGTCAGCAGCACAGTACAGCATGGTGAGAGAGGGGCTCAGGGATGGGATGAGGTTCTTTCCTGCCTTATGAAAATCATTAAAAAGTGGTTTAAAAATTTCCAAATGGGCAGGGCACGGTGGCTCACGCCTGTAATCCCAGCACTTTGGGAGGCAGAGGCGGGCGGAACACCTGGGATCTAGAGTTGGAGAGCAGCCTGGCCAACATGGTGAAACCACATCTCTACTAAAAATACAAAAAGTACCCGGGTGTGGTGGCGTGCGCCTGTAAACCCAGCTACTCCTGAGGCTGAGGCAAGAAAATCATTTGAACCTGGGAGGAGGAGGTTGCAGTGAGCCAAGATCGCACCACTGCACTTGAGCCTAGGCAATGAGAGCGAAACTCGGTCTCAAAAAAAAAAAAAAGAAAAAGAAAAGTCCAAATGTTCTTTTCTTACCCTTAAGTAGCAAATAAGATGCATTACACAAGACCCTGGTAAGGAAAAGAGTAAGTGCATTCATGTCTCAGCTTACTTCTTAATTAACTGTAATTCCCTGTGCATGTTTTAGCATGTTTTCACGTCGGTAAAATGCACTAATGCCGAGTGGGGCGGGTGGTGGGACGAGTGCTGTTGCTTTTTCCAATCAGTGGCGCTGGCGCGGGAACCGCCTAATCAGGGGCGCCACCGGAGGGGAGGGCGTGGCTTCCGACATTCGGCGGGGACTTTGCTTTTTGCTCTCTCCAGAGTTTCGGATCTGTCTCTACTGTTCTGCATCTTACACCGCGGGAGCCTCCGGTGACTCTGTCACAGCCTCTGTTGACCTGTAATCTGCAGGGAGACGCACAGCTAAGATGCCAGGACATCCTGGAATCTGGGAAAGGGTGAGTGTGCGGGGTTGGGCAACCCGAGAGGGGAGACCAGGCTGTGAAACCAGCAGGACCGGCCTCTCCACAGTCCGCTCCCGGGTCGCAGACCAGAGTCTCCTCTGGCGCAGCTCCGCCTCAGGCCCCTCTGGCCGCAAGATG